GAAATATACTAAAACTACGTCCATCAGGTAACCCTTCGATCTCTCGAGTAGAGCTCTCAAGATGGAAATGCATTAAGTCCAAGAAAAACCATTAAGTTCAGATGAATCATGTATATATATCTCTATATACCATTCAATTCACACTATGAATTATTCAATCGATTATATGAATTCCTCTCTCGATTCATTCACATAACACAAATCAATTAAGAGGTGGCCAAGCTCTTAATTGCATTAAGCGCAATAATTCATAGACTATATGGAAATCACAATCTTGGATAAATCATAAAGATAAAAATATTATCATTAACATGGTTAGGCTTTCCCCAGCCCTAGCAAGAAACAAACCAGTTCATGATACGAGAATTAAAGCAAATAAAGGGAAAGAAAGAACTCTTGAATTCACCCATGGTGCTGAGATCTCCTCTTCTTGCCACCACCTTCTTCTTGAAGTTTCTTGAATTCTTGATCCATTCTTGACTAATTGCTCCTTGCTTCTTGATTCAATCCCCAAGATTGAGTGATACCTCAAGCTGGTCTGCCCCCTCCTTTACATAGCTTAAAGAGGAGGGGGTGGTCTCCTACTTCCTCTTGAAGTTGATCTTACAAGAATAAAAAGTCCTATCCTAATTCTACTCTTATCTCCTTATCTAATGAACTCAATCCCTTTATCTCTCTAAGATTACATCAAGAATTTAGATCTGGAAGGACTCTTCTCAGTTTCTTGTTCTTGGATTCGTATTAGACCTCCTCTGCGAATTGGGCTTCAGCCAGGCTTTTTTGCAAGTTGGGCTTCAGCTGCGGATTGGGCCTTCCTATGAATTTGCCCCGACTTCGGGCCTGGATTTGACTTCGATTCAGGCTGAACCTGTGAAATCCAAAAACATGAAAGTTGTGGTCTTGAATCAGCCCAATCAGAGTTCGGATACGCGAGTTAAGCCTAGATTACTGAACGATGTTGAAATTGTGAAAAATCATCTAATTTGTCTTTCTTTGCTCCTGATGCCTTCTTTTGTGCCCTGAACCGAAATACAAGAAATATGAGTCCAATTAAGTACTAATTCAGTATAAAAGACAGAATAATTGGGGATAAAAATATGATAAATTCTACTCTCATCACTTAGCAAAAGGTTCAGTGTCACAAGCATTTCCATCCACTGCATCATCTTCAAAATCTTGTTCTACCTCACTAACTTGACATACTTCTTTCACACATGAATCAATCACATCAATTCTCATACAAAGTTCTTCCTCCATAGGATGTTTCATAGCCTTGGACATGTTAAACTCAACTTTGTCATCACCAATTTGAAGGGTCAATTTCCCTTCATACACATCAACCAAAGCTTTCCCTGTGTTTAGAAACGGTCTGCCAAGGATCAAGGTGCAATCATGATCCTCCTCAAAATCTAGCACAACAAAGTCCAAAAGAAATATGAACTTGTCCACTTTCACAAGTACATCCTCAACCACGCCATGAGGTTTCTTGATGGAATGATCCACCAACTGCAAAGTCATCAAGGTAGGTTTCACTTCTCCAATACCAAGTTTCCTGAAAATAGACAAAGGCATCAAATTAATGCTAGAACCTAAATCACACAAACACTTAGGAAACTCAATGCTACCAACAACACATGGAATTGTAAAACTCCTTGGGTCTTTTAATTTGGTAGGCATTTTGCTGGTAATGATTGAACTGCACTTTTCAGTCAATGATACAGTTTGGTCATCCTCCCATCTCCTCCTATTAGTGATGATCTCCTTCAAAAATTTAGCATATTGAGGCATTTGGGCTAGAGCCTCAGCAAAAGGAATATTGATTTGCAGCTTCTTAAAAATATCCAAAAATTTGGAAAATTGTTGTTCAGTCTGCTGCTTCTTCAGTCTTTGAGGAAATGGGATTCGTGTAACATAGGATGAAGGTTGGGCATTAGAGTGATTTTCCTTGTCACCTTGGTTCTCCTCTGACTCATCATTGGTTCCTTCATCATAGATTTTAGCATTGGTTGATAAAGGACCCTCAACATCTGTACCTGTTCTCTTACTTTGCACATCTTGCTTTGGCTCTAGCACTTTCCCGCTCCTTAGTGAAATTTCTTTAAGCTGCTCCCTTGGATTAGTCTCAGTATTGCTTGGTAAGTTACCTTGGTTCCTAGCTGAAACAGCATTGACTAGTTGGCCTATCTGCACCTCCAAGTTGTGAATTGAAGACAAATGGTTCTTTGCAATTTGATCAAATTTAGCTTCCATCCTTCTCTGGGCCTCATCCTGGCTGCTCATCTTGCTACTCATCATGTCAATAAATTTATCCAGCTTGGCTTCAAAAGAAACTGATCTATCCTACTGAGGATGTTGCTAGAATCCTGGTGGTCCTTGCTGTCTAGGCATGTTGTTGTTTTGGAAACTGGAACTGCCAGCATTGTTGTTATTGTTACTCCATGAAAAATTGGGGTGATTTCTCCACCCTAGGTTATATGTGTTGGAGTAAGGGTTGTTGACCTGCCTTCCTTGGAATTGATTCCCTATAAAATTGCATTGCTCCATAAAATTTCCACCTGCAAAATTAAAATTTCCAACACAATATTCAGAACTAACATGACCTATACCATTACAATACTCACAGATTGGTTGCATAGAATTGTTGATGGCGTTGGCTTGCACGTTCATGGTGTCCAATTGCTTGATTAAAGTTGAAATTTGGGCCTGCAAGGATGCTATGGAGTCCGCCTCTAATTTGCCTCCCTGTCTAGGTGGATTTAGCCGCTTGGATGGCCACAAACAATTATTAGCTGCCATTTCCTCTAAAAGATCAAAAGCAGCATCTATAGATTTCCTCATCAATGAACCTCCTGCAACAGCATCAATAGTATCTCTAGTAGTGCGAGTGGCTCCATTGTAGAAAGTCTGAATCAAAAGTCCCTTACGTAATCCATGGTGAGGGCAGCTTCTCTGCAAAGTCTTAAATCTTTCCCAAGCCTCATACAATGATTCATTCTCAAATTGCTGAAAAGTAGTGATGTCTTTATTGATCTTTGCAATTTTAACTGGGGGAAAATACTTAGCCAAGAAAGCCTGTGCCAGTTGTGCCCATGTGGTTATGGAGTTCGGTGGTAGAGAATTTAACCACGCTTTAGCTTTATCCTTCAAGGTGAAAGAGAAAAGCCTAAGCCTTATAGCATCGTCTGAAACTCCATTGTATTTAAAGGTATCACAAATTTCCTAGAAATTTGAAATGTGAACATTAGGATCTTCATTGCCCATGCCATAAAATTGCACACTTGATTGGATCATTTGGAGTAGAGCTGGCTTAATCTCAAAGTTATTGGCATTGATGTTTGGCCTTGCAATACTCTGTTGTGCACCATGCAGCCCAGGCATAGCAAAATCTCTAAGAGTTCTCTCATTATCTTGTCGATTTGCTTGGTTACCTTCATTATCCTCTGCCATCTCTGAAACCCTTACTTGCTGAACTTTCTCGTTTTCTCTAACAAACTTATCAATTTCAGGTCTGAAAGGAAGAAGCTCAGGTTGTGAACTTTGAGTTCTTTGCATACGCCAAAATGGTACCTAAAGAAAGAATGTAAACAAACAAAAATTAGCAAAAACTACTAAAGATTTGAGCTTTAAATCAAGAGAAACTAAATTAATTATGGTGTTAAATAAAATTCTTTCCCCGGCAACAGCGCCAAAACTTGGTCACTCTCCGCAAGAGTACGGAGTCATACAACTAATATAGTAAAGAATACAGAATCGTTCCCACGAGGAAAGAATTATTTAGCCACCTATTAAGGAATGTAAACTAACGCTACTAATTAAGGAAATTAAATGACAAAAACAATTAATTTGAACAAGAATCAATAACAAAGTTGCTAGGGATTAATCCAATCACAATCATCAAGATTCAATATCAATAAAATCTCACGAGGGTTGTTATATTCCAAAGTGTTTCCTAAAAGCACTAGTCAATCTTTCTCAAGAGTCGATTAGCTAAACCTATGTTCAATTAAATGGAATTACAATCAATGAATTCTTATTCTTTCAATCGAAATCCTCTTTGCATAAACCCAAGTTGTTAATACACCTATAAGGAAATCCTACCAACAATTGATATCTCTACCTAATTATTGGTTGAATAAGTGTTATTAGTTCCACCTCAATTATCATTTCTCAATGAATAATCTTGATTAAAGAACAAATCATTGGTGATCAATCAATGATAAGTAATAAGCACAAATAACACAATATAACAAGAACCTCATCGATTTTATTAATAAATGAAAATCAAGGCATGATCAAGTATTAATCCCAAACAATAAAAACTTAGCCACTCATGATGTAATTAAGAACAAGCAACATCCCAATATCAAGAGTAAACATGATGTTACAAGAGAAAAAGAAAGTATATTACAAACGATCTCTCAATCTTGACTTAACGATCTTCAATCTTGTCTTCTCCCTTGTTTTTTTTTCTCTTCGAATTGAGTGTTCTTCATCCAAAAAGATCTCTCTCTTTCAACTCCACCTCCTTCCTATATATCACCACCTAAAAATTAGAAAAAAAAAACAAAAGTCGCCATTAACCCTAGCATCTTTGACGATTAGTCCAAAAACTTGTAGAGCTTCACACTTTAGTCCATGATCTTTATCAGCTTGTTCCAAATTGGCCCCGAAGATTCATCTTTGACGATTAGTTACCTGAAAAGTGACAAAACATCCAAATGCATTAAATTGACTCAAAGATACCCAAATTAACCATAGAATCTCAACAATTAAACCTAAAAACACCTGAAATTCTTATGAATAACTTAAGCTTATCAATTACTCACGGTATGGTTACGTGTACCTAATGAGACACAAGTCTGAATCCTTTGAAAAGTTCAAAGAGTTTGGGCAAGAGGTCGAGAAACAGTTGGGAAGACACATTAAGGCCCTTCGATCAGATCGAGGAGGTGAATATCTCCCCAATGAATTCAATGACTACTTAAAAGAAAATGGGATATTATCACAACTAGCTCCTCCTACTACACCACAGTTAAAAGGTGTGTTAGAAATGAGGAACCGGACTTTATTGGATATGGTCCGATCACTTCTCGCACACTCAAAACTACCCACATCCTTTTGGGGTTACGCATTAAAGACTGTGATATACGTGTTGAACCGGGTTCCAACCAAATCCGTTCCAAAGACTCCCTATGAATTTTGGACCGATAAGAAACCAAGTGTGAAACACATGAAAATTTGTGGTTGTCCGACACATGTTAAAAGAACTAGTGCTGACAAATTGGAATCCAAGACCAGTCATTGCCTTTTTATAGGTTACCCCAAAGGCTCTGTGGGTTACTTATTCTATGATCCAAAAGAGCAAAAGGCATTTTGCATTCAAAATGTCCACTTCTTAGAAGAATATTACATCCTGGATAATCATCATCGGGAAGTTATTCTTGATGAGGAGAGCCCAGGGGTAGTGGGAGATGTCCCACCAGCAACAGAAAATAACCAACCTAGAAGATCTACCCAGGTATCCAAACCTCCAGTTCGTTATAGCTATGACCAAGAAAGTTACCTAGTGGAAGCCATGACCAATGAGGAGGATCTAGTGACTTATTCGAAAGCTATGTTGGACATAGATTCCTTGAAGTGGGTAGATGCCATGAGAGCTGAGATGGACTCAAGGGAAATCAATGGAGTTCGGACTCTAGTAGATCCACCCCTTGGGGTAGAGGCAATTGGTTACAAATGTTGAGACTTACAAGGCTCGTCTTGTGGCGAAAGGGTACACTTAGAAAGAGGGAATCGATTATGAGGAAACCTTTTCACTTGTGGCCATGCTTAAATTCATTAGGATCATGCTTGCTGTAGTAGCTTACAATGACTACGAGATTTGGAAAATGGATGTCAAAACCGCATTCCTAAATGAAAATCTTACTGAAGATATCTATATACAACAACCATAAGGTTTCATAGCTGCAGGTCAGGAACACATGGTACGTAAACTCAACCGATCCATCTATGGACTTATGCAAGCTTCTAGGAGTTGGAACATCTGATTTGACTCTACCATCAAATAGTTTGACTTTGAGCAAAATCCGGATGAGCCCTGTGTTTACAAGAAGACCAGTAGGGATAAGGTTATGTTCTTGGTTCTATATGTAGATGACATACTACTCATTGGGAATGATGTAGGAATGTTAACTATGGTGAAAGTGTGGCTTTCATAGCAATTCTCTATGAAAGATCTTGGAGAAGCCTCCTACATATTGGGTCTTCGACTCTATAGAGATAGATCGAAGAGGATAATAGGATTATCCTAGTCTGCTTACATTGACAAAATAGTCAAGAGATACAGCATGGAGAACTCCAAGAAAGGAAATGTTCCATTCAGGCATGGAGTCACTCTCTCCAAGGGTATGTATCCCAAGACTCCCAAAGAGATTGAGGGCTTGAAAGAGGTTCCCTATGCCTCAGCCGTAGGGAGCATCATGTATGCCATGCTGTGCACTCGTCTTGACATTTCTAAGGCAGTGAGTGTGGTAAGCAGAAACCAATCTAACCTAGGGCAGGAGCATTGGACCGCTATGAAAAACATACTAAAATACCTTCGAAAGATAAAAGAGTTTTGTCTGATATTCGATGGAAGTTCACTATAGATCTAGGGGTATACTGATGTGGATTTCTAGTCAGATCCGGATGATAGAAAGTCTACATCTGGTTATATCTTCACTATAGGATCGTGTGTTGTTAGCTAGAAAAGCAGCAAACAGGGGTCCACCGTAGATTCCACAACCGAGGCCGAATACATTGCCAAAAGTGAAGCTGCCAAGGAAGCCGTTTGGATGAAGAAGTTCATTTTGGAATTAGGAGTAGTTCTATCCAGCACATCATCCATTCCATTGTTGTGTGACAACACTGGAGCCATTGCTCAGGATAAGGAGCCACAAGCCCACTCGAAGTCGAAGCACATTGAGAGGAAGTACCATGTACTGTGGGAGAAAGTTGGAAGAGGGGACGTCTTGACTCAGAAGGTAGTATCAGCGGAGAATGTGGCAGACCCATTGACTAAGCCACTGACACAGAAAGTGTTTAAGAAACACGTGGAAAGTGTGGGAATCCGGCTTGTACCCAATTGGACCTAAGTGCAAGTGGGAGCTGTTAGATAGTATATGTCCTTAGATCCAATCAGAATGATGTACATTATGACATTTAATGTAAATRAATAAAGTACATATTTGATTCATGTTATAATGGTGTGTTTCTGTGTAATACCATTAAACTAGACACATATGATACCCATA